TCGCCCAGCTCTACTGAGAACGCGACCGCTATGACATTTGTTTGCCGCCAAATCTGGAGAGGGAACTAAATCGATATACGGAAATGAATTACCTCCCCCCCCCCCCAAAAAAAAACACACAACAACAACAACAAACAAACAAACAACAAAGTCTGAAAAAAGGGAAATTACGATTCGTGTGAACATTTGTGAGGCAGCGTGGTGGAATCAGGCTCTCGTCAATTTTTGGGCATATTGAGTTATTAGTATCATCTTAAAGCTTGCTCATTTGTCTTGCTTTCCATGACAAAATTACCCATCCATCTTCAATAGAAGTGGAGATATTTTGGGTTGAAGGAGGTGGGGGTAACCTGATTTAAGAGGCAAAATTTGCGAGAAAGTGTCCGCTAAAGCTTGGTTAATTCCAAAGCTGGAGAGTCCATAGAAACTGTAAATTTATATTTTTGTACCTTTAATCAACGTTTTCAGTGAAATCCTCGAGGGAATGTGTTTGTAAAAAACAGAAATTTGATAAAAATTGCTAAGCAGGGAAAAAACTGCTGTTTTCTTCGATTTCATTATTTTGACGAGAGCCTGATTCCACCAGGCTGCCTCACATTTTTTTCTTCAGATTACAGTTTCACAGAGTTTTGCTGATAGAACCTTGTAATTATGAAGTAGCGATGGGTTGGTTTTTGATAGGTAGAGTTCAGGAATCTCGACTCCAACATCACTTAGACTATAACTGAGCAAACGAGTGTGTTGTTAGTTTATAGTGCGGTCAAAAATTCGTGGCGCAACTTATCCTCAAATATCTCTCAAACGGGTGAACCACCGTCACTCATACTTTGCACAGCAGTTTGTATCAATTTGTCTTAACTTAATCATATTTTCCCACAACAATTGAGGCTAGATTAAAAAACGTTTCTTCTTTAATTTATGTAAAATACTACAAATCTCCGCCACGCGTAAAATGGGATTGTTAACAGCACTTCCCGCTTCTTGTACACATCTATTTGTATACGCATATGGCCTACGTCACAGCTCACCAATGACACTTTTTAGTGGCAAAACGTGTCACAAGAAATTTATTTTATAGTGAACACAATATTTATTGCACTGAAGGTTCTCAAAACATGCGTTCAATAAGCGTAAAGTCGCCATTAGAAAAAAATGACAGACTTGCTTTTAAAGGCGATATTGCTCGAGCTGTAAACTTTTTAAAAGCTGTAAAAAAAAATAGACTTGGATTTTTTTATTAGTATTCATTAAGGAATTTTCTAGAATACAGTGTAGAGGTGTTTGAAAAAAAATATTCATCAGTTAAGACAAATTGATATAAACCATTGTGCAAACGTTGGAGAATCTATGTTCAATAGTTATGGAGATATTTGACAACACGTTGAGACATGTATTTTTGACCACACAATAGTTCCCCTTAACAATGCTTCAAAGGTCAAACTAACCAGTCTCCCACATACATTCAAGAACTCATTGTACCATACACACCATCACGTGAACTAAGATCCAGTGGCTCTAGACTAATTTCAACACCTCGTGTGTCGCTGAAGAAATATGGTGAGAGAGCTTTTTCTTTTTCTGGGCCAACAGTTTGGAACAGTCTCTTTCATGAATTTGAGAAGACAAAATAAAACTTGATACCTTCAAAAGAGGACTCAAAACACATCTATTTAAGAAATATTTTAATTAATGGACAGTGCCTTTGCCTTTTGTTGTATGAGCATTTTTTCTTGTCTGAAAGTGTCAAAAAGTGCGCACATGATGAATTTGTATGGTGTTAGTTTGAATGCGTTTTTAATCTCTTATGTACGCCTTAGGGCCCATGTTGTGGGGAAAGGCGG